GGTCGCTGCATTTTGTAGCTTTTGTCTTTTTCTTTAAGGCAATCATTGTAACTTCTGTAAAGTCCTTGGGCCACTCTCCACTTTCATATATGGTGTTCATTAGTTTTGTCAGTGTTTTCAAACCACCTTCTCCCAGTAACTTGAGCACATCTCCAGGTACATCATCATCTCCTGTAGCCTTTCCCTTCCTCATTTCCTTGATAGCTTTTTCCACCTCACTTTGTAAAATATATGGTCCTTTCTCGTCTGTATCTACTTCTTCTTCCGGTTCAACTTCTAAGGTTTCTGGCCGATTAGGTCGATCATATAGTTCTGAAATATAATTTTCCCAAATTTTCAGCACTTGCCTCTGATCTACTATTCTATTCCCCTGGGAGTCTTCGATGCCAACATTTTGAATCCCATGATTCTCTTTCCATCCTAGTTCTTTTGTCTTCATGTACATCAAATCATAATGTCCTGTTCTTTGAAATTCTATAATCTCATTACATATCTTCTCAAGATATTCCTTTTTGGCCCTGTCCGTGGCTCTTTTCAATTCATTCCTCAGTCTCCTGTATTTCCTCCTGCCTTCTTCATTGTTGACATTCTTCCATTTCCTTCGCTCCTCCATTTTACTCATCATCTCCTGTGTAACCCATGGTTTTCTTGCTATCTTCTCAACTTTACCAACCAAATCACTGATAGTATCTAACATGCATTCTTTTATATTGTTCCACTGCACTTCAGCATTTCCGCTTTCACCTTCAACTGCACCGAGTTTCTCTTCTAGGTCTCCTGCACGCTTTGTCTTTGAGCATATAACTTCTCCAAGTCCCATCTAGGTCTGCGCTTTTGGAATCTTATAATTTTCTTCAACCTGGTTCGAAACTTGGCAACCAGCAAGTTGTGGTCAGAGTCAATATCTGCCCCAGGCAGCGTCTTCATTCGACTTCTAATCTTTGATATTATTAAGTAATGATCAGAGTCAATGTTGGCTCCCCTGTAGCTCCTGAAATCCATCAAATCTGAACAATGCCTTACATTAGGATGTGATCAATTTGATTAAACGATGTGATCAATTTGATTAAACACATTTCCATCAAGGGATTTCCAGGTTCATTTATGTATATCCTTATGATTAAACATTGTACTACCTATTACCATGTTTCTTGAGGATGCAAAATTTATTAATCTCATCCCGTTATCATTTGACTTATTATGTAGGCTATGTTTTCCAATAACTGATCTATATACATCCTCATTCCCCACTTTGGCATTCATGTCCCCTGTGATTATTTTACAATCCCTTTTTGGACATTCGCCATATATTTCATCCAATTCATCATAAAAGGAGTCTTTCTCCTCATCACTTTTATCTTCAGTTGGGGCATGTGCACAAATAAGGCTATAATTAAAAAACTTTCCCTTAATTTGTAGCCTACATGTTCTGTGAGATTTTGCCTGGAAGTTTAAAATAAGATGCTTCCTTTTTTTATTAACAATAAAACCTTTCCAAACATGCGACTCTTCTTCTGACAGCTATAGAATACAACATGATCCCTCTTTTCCATGACTCCTTTACCAAACCACCTCAGTTCATGTATAGCAGTGATATCTAGTTGTTCAAGTAGCATTTTTAGTGCTCCGGCTCTGTAAAGAGATAGTACATTCCAAGATCCAATTCTCAAATCCTTTATACATTTTCCAGGTCGTCTTGAATAGGTCCGTCCGGCTACTCTTTCCTCGGATTTCTGAACAATTTAGTTTTTACAGTGTGCAGTCGTTAGCCTCACGCCCAACCCCCAACCTGCAGGAACAGGGTATCCCTCCCTGTCTGGCTCCCACCCCTTGACCTGTCCGGCATGGGTGGCCCTACTAGTAGCTATGCTACCGCTGGCATAGCTCTCAGGGTCTCAGGAGCTCTCAAACCCCACCACCACGATAAGGTGGAGATACCATTGGTGGAGGCTTGCAGTCATAAGGCCAAAAACAAAGGAATGAATGTTGGTGACTCAATCTATCTTTCCAAATTAAGAAACCAAGAAAAAGAATTTTCAACGAGGTAGAGAGATGGGAAGAACTTAAGAGGAAACAGGTAAAAGCTGGTGTGGTACATGATTTCACAAGGAATATCAAGGCATCAGGTAGACGTCAGTAAACAATTCACTCGGCCCTGCAATAGGTACCACCAATCCAACCACATGCCCATGTGCACTGCCATGATAACCACAAATCTCACAGACCTTTATTTTTCTAGAGAACATGATACAAAATAATACCCTTCTGAAATTCTAAAATATGAAATCTTACTGCTGGGTATGCTTATTTTTCCTAATGGTTCCTAAGTGTGTAACTTTCTTCCTGAGGAGGTACTTGGAAAGTATACCAGTTACTGGTTACGCTCATGTTCGAGCCTTCAATATCACCAACAAATCACTGTCCTGTGAGTACTACAAATTTCATGACAACATTCATGTAATATTCTCTCTTCATCCCAAGATAGAAGTTCCCAAGCACAGCCATGATCTTGTTGCCTGCAGTTTCTGCTGGATCTCCCTATCTGTTGTACTGAACAGTGAACAATTTCCTGTAGACATATATGTTCACATAGTCTACAGTCTCCTCAACAGTGGTCACATAAACCATCAAGTGGTGAGGAAATTTCTTCTGTAGTTTCTCTTGCAGCTGCTGTTGGCCCAGGCTAAATTTTGGGTATGTTCTTACTTCCAGTTAAACTCAATTAAAAGAATTTTTTTTACTCCGTGTTATTATCTTCCACTGTACCAATTACTGCCATGCCTTATACAGCTGCTCATAGTCTCCAAGTATGCTTCCCAGTCTTATTTGATTTGGAATCACTACTCATGATTTGGGACGGCTCATTCTGTACAGCAATGGGTTATGGGCTGAATGGCCTGGGCTCAATTCCCAGGAGTGCAATATTTCTCTCTTCTCCAGTGTTCCAAGGCCAAGAAAGGTGCAGCGACAACTGTACCTTACCACTATGAGTGATAATCTAACCATCCCACTGACTCAGTGTCCCTTCCAGGGCATTATGACCCTGTTGTCAGGTAATTCCAGAATTGTTCTGTTACATTTTGCCCTTAAAAGTAACATTGTCAAATTTTCCATTTCAAAGATACTTCAAATGGCTACAAAGTAAACCATGACAAAGCAAAAGTTTACTTACATGTACTGGTGTGCACTACTACCAAATTCTTAGCAATTGATGCCCACTGTAACGCCATCTTGAAAAAAGAATTGAGTAGTTCAAACCCCAAAGTTCAGTACACCACAACACCCACTTCAATGTTAATGTAAAACTATCGATACTATACTACGTTAAGAATGAAAGAGACGAATATGTACGGTTTATTTGTTGGCGAAAAATAATTTCGGCTCAATCTTCAAGTAATCGATTGGAATTTTTAAGGTAAATAAGGATCTATAAAGTTAATATACAAGACGTGTTTCTAACCTATGTAACGTCATACTAATAACAAATCAGATTCATATTGCAACTACAAACAACTTACATATATCACAGTGTCCTACTTGCAATGTAAATACAAAATAAAACTTTACATATAAGTGGTTTTCACCGTTTTCTGGTACTAATGCAAGATTCGATGCGTCATCGGCTGTTCCATATCATACACGCCTACTGTAATTCGGTGACCTTTCACAACATGTTTCGGAGTATTGTGCAATTCTGTTAGCCATATAAAACGGATGTGAAGACACTTTATATAGTGGACAGTTCTGAGCATAGGTGTGTTTGATCAGTGGGAAATTCTGTTCGGGCATCTTCACTGTTTCAGTAGCAGCAGGAGAAAACGAGGTAACATTTCCGTCTACATGCCATGTTCAATAGTAGAATGAATGTACGTGTATAAGGCGTGGGCCTTCTCGGCCCTTGCACCGCGATGTACAGTGATCTATTGTGCTTATGTTCAGCAGTATAAAGAATATGCCTGATTTTACGGCACAGTAACTAATTAAGTAAACATTCCTATGTTATTGCGATCATAAAACAATAATACACCTTTTAGTAACTCGGTATAATGGTACTCATATTCATAATAACGGACGCAAAACTCACAATGAGAGAATTCGTGCGCTTATGTTGTGTGTTCGAGCAATCGTAGATTCTGACGTCTGGTAAGAGATTATTATTCAGTCACTTTCAGACGTTAAATAATTTTATAATTTGGACAATTCCAATAATACTGTAACGTGGATGGACACAGCGTTGCTAGGTTAATGACCGTTATACGCAAGGCAACAATGGGAGTGTGGCGTTTTATCTATATAAATAAAAACGTAAATGTTGGTTTGTTACCATTCGAAGATCTCCGAAAGTGCTTCACTGATTGCTTCGAAATTTTGAAACAACGTTGCATTCGAATGCGCGCGTTTTTATATACCTACTAGCTGTACCCGGCCACTCGTGAATCCGAAAAGTAAATGTTCGTTTGTTAGTCGTCTTAAATCTCCGATGGTTCTTCACCGATTGCTTCGAAATTTTGACACAACGTTGAATTCGAATGCGCGCGTGTTTTTATATACCTACCATCTGTACCCGGCCACGCGTGAATCCGGAAAGTATACTTCCATGGAAACGCAATAACAGTTGCATAGGAATTGCCGAAACAAAAAACGCGTTTCCCCAGAGATTAAAGGATAAGAGGTTCCGTTGCGTAACAATGGGTGAAACCGGAAAGTATACTTCCATGGGAACGCAATAACAGTGGGCCGTTGCGTAACAACGGATGAAACCAAACACTTCTACAAGGTGTTCTGTGCTAGCATTTCCTAAGCAACAGATGAAACTAACTCTTGGATAAGGTATTCACTATCCCGTCCGAACGCTAGCTATATGTGTAAGAGAGTGTAGCTCCGGCGACTGTTCAGTATCACGAGGTCACAAGTATCACAAGAGATTCCGAGTGAAATCACAGCAGAGATCCTGAGTTTGCACTCACAGTTTTGGATTCGAATCTGGCAGCGTTTCCCCGGTGATGGACAACAGAACGCTCATTGTATAGCATCCGCCGAGGTATAAATAGTCCCGCGTGGACAAGAAGCAGTCAGATCAGGAGTCAAAAAATTCAGCAGCACTGAAGATTGTCTGTTTGACATCATCACAGCGACACTTCATCGCGCCAGATTCGGGGTTGGAGCGATAATCATTAGTGTGCTGTAGGATCGAGCAGATCGGAGGAGCAGATCGACTGGAAGTCAAGTGGTTATTAGCAGTGTATCATTGAGATAGGACAGGACTGGTTTGAAAAAGGTGAGATTGGTTGACCCAGTGACAGGATTCTTCAATTCATTCTTTGTCAAGTCAGGAGAACAGCTGTGTGTTAGGAGGTCGGATTGATCATTGAGCAACATTGCTTGTGGATTCAGTGCGGGCAGTGAGTTGTGTCTTACTATCTTCTAGTCGTATACGTCAGTACTCGGCTGGGTTGTTGAATCTGTAAGTGCCGAGCCAGAGATGGCTGGCGTCCCTGTGCCGGGGTACCAGGCATTCTGGGCCGGAAAACGTGCCGCTCTACAGGCCGAATTTAAAGAAATTATTATGCAATACCCCGATGCCAAAATAAAATACAAGCGCTTATTCGACATCCTGTGCAGCATTGAGGACGTGGCCGGCTTCACAACTGCTGCGATTGGAGAAAGTGCAGAATGGGCGGCAATAGTCAGCGCCGCCGACGACAATAGGATTAATTACTGCAAGGCCCTCTCCGGCAAGACGCTGTTCAGTGCGCTGTATGGAAATTATACAGTTACGCTGAACGAGCTGAAGTCCCTGATAAAGGCCAGCGCATCAGGCACAATTATTCCAGCCCGGGTGGAAGGCTTCAAAGAAGTCCGGAGGAGGAAACGACAGAGTACCGCTGAATTCGCACCGACTCCTAAGAAAACAACGGCAGCCGTCGAAAGGAATCCCAAAACAGAGGTTGCCACCAAAATCTACTTCGCCCCCCTCAGGGAGGCAACGATGGAGACAGACACTTCTGGTGCAGAAGCCACTACACTGGAGGAGGAAACCATAGGTAAAGCAGGCAGGGCTCCCCACAATAATTCTCACGTCCACAGTGAACCTCATTCAGTTGCAGAAGCAACTGAAAAATGTGGTCAAAGGCGACTTCGAGTTCCGCAGTACCAGAAACGGGACCAGAGTCCTCACCAAAAGCATTGCGGATTTCGAAGCCGTCAGGTCCCATCTATCCAACAACAAACTTTCCTATTTTACCTTCTTTCCCAAGTCCCTAAAACCCATAAAGGCTGTAATCCGTCACCTCCCTCACAATACCCATGCGGAGGATATATCTGATGGACTGGTAACCCTGGGATTTGATGTGGTTAGCGTCAAACAGATGACAACCACCCGCGGGTCGCCTTCAGACGAAAGGATAGCAAGAAACCTTCCGCTCTACCTTATCACCCTACCCCGGACGGCAAAATCACAAGAAATTTTCCATATTCAAAGCCTTTGCCACATTTCCATTCGGGTTGAGGCATATAGAGCACAGAGTGGCCTTACGCAATGTCACAACTGCCAACAGTTTGGCCACGTCTGGGCCAATTGCAAACAACCTCCCCGTTGCATGTGGTGCGGGGGTGGGCACCTGCACAAAGAGTTCCCTGAGAAGGAGAACGCTGCCTCCACTCCAGCTTGCTGCAACTGCGAATTGAAGGAAGGAGAAGCCCCATCCCGCCAACTGTCGGGGCTGCAGACACGCGAGGGAGAAACTGCAGAGGAGGAAATCGCAGAGAGCATCCAAAACTACAACGCGAAGAGTGTTCTCCTCGAATATCGTTACCCCGGCGGCGCTCCGTGGCAGCACATCGCAGGAGCAGCGACCTCAAAATCTCCAAGTTCAAATGACAGTTCCACCAGAAGCCACGAAACAGAGCGTCCCGGTCCTTGTACAGGAACAAAAAAACAGGTCAGTCAACTCAGGCTACTCATGTAAACTGTCCATATCTCGACAATATGTTGAGAGTAGTGACTGTAGTACAGCAGATTATGACAGAGGTCACTGGTGCAGTGTCCGAAGAGGACAAAATAATGGCCATTATCAAAATTGTTCTAAACCTTATGAAACAGAATGGCCACTACAATTCATAGGCCTCTCAAAGTCATAGCATTTAATGCGAACGGCATTGGGAGGCAGGGCTATGAGCTCGGTAAACAGCTGCAAGACCTACACGTAGATGTGGCCCTGTTTTCAGACACACATTTGAAACCTCATGAGAGGTTCTTTATTCCAAATTACCACTTTTATAGAATCGACCTCCACTCGGGCAGAAAAGGCGAGACTGCCGTTGCTGTAAGAAAAGCCATTCCCCATAACCATGTAGACCTACCACCCCTTGGTTCAGTAGAAGCGACAAGGGTCTGCATACCAATTGGTAATAGCAAAGTGCTGCTTGCAGATGTTTATAAGTCTCCAGGCAAAGTCTGGAGTGATGCTGACATCACTGAGCTCTTAAGTTTCAGACGAAGGTCTATTTTGGCAGGTGATTTGAATGCTAAGAACCCCTTTTGGAATATCAGAGTTTCAAACCCCTCAGGCTTGAAACTTATGGATTTATTTGATATAAGTAATTTCGAAATCTCAGCACCACAGTGCCCCACTCATTATTCCCCTGCGGGAAATGGTGACGTGTTAGACATTG